CATAGTTACAGCAAGAAGAAACAAGTAACACAGTAGTAACAAGTCTATTAGCCTACACTGTCATATAAGTAACCATAGTTACAGCAAGAAGAAACAAGTAACACAGTAGTAACAAGTCTATTAGCCTACACTGTCATATAAGTAACCATAGTTACAGCCACAAGAAACAAGTAACACAGTAGTAACAAGTCTATTAGCCTACACTGTCATACAGGTGGCAGTCTTGGAAAAATAGGTATATATATAAGATATACCAATAATGGCACTTCTGAATGAGAATACATGCCTCAGCATTTCTTTATATTAAAACTTTCAATTAAACACCTTAGTGTGTGGCTGTCAAATCGTTTCTCTACACATTTAAATGATAGTGTATGACTGACACTGTTTTCTTAAATATTTGAACATTCAGTTAAATGACATTCTATCAGAAATATTGGAATAGACATGAATCATGTAGTTATTAATCCCTTGATGGTAACTTGAAAGATCGAGAGATTAAAAACAGATAAAGCATCTGAGGCAGACAAAGTTTTCCTAAGGGTTTTATATGAAGTCAAAGTTCAGATAAAAAAGCCACTCTTTAAAGTTTGGTAGGTCAATATACAGATAAAGCATCTGAGGCAAACAAAGCTTTCTTAAGGGTTTTATATGAAGTCAAAGATCAGATAAAGAAGGCACTCTTTAAATTTTGGTAGGTCAATATACAATGTACAAATGCTTGAGGACTGAAGAGATGCTTTATGTTAAGTCCTATTACTGAAGGGCTGGTAAGAGTTGTTCTCAAAATTACAGACCAGTTAGTCTTACTTCTGGAGTAGGAAAACTTAAAAAAAAAGTCTGATAAAACAAGCACAAGCTACACACAGATTCATCAAAGGAAGATCTCGTCTTACTAATCTTTTATCTCTTTTCGAGGATATCACTTGTTATCTGATGAGGTAAAGCATGTAGACGTGGTATATTTAGATTTTCAAAAAGCTTTTGATTAGATGCCACACAAAAGGTTAGTTAAGAAAATCACATTGGCAAGAGTTTCAATTGTAGGATGATTAGGTAAGTGAAAGTCAACAGTTCTTTTTGATGGACTTCAATCAAATTGGGCACTAATTATTGAGTGGCTGAGGATTCAGTGCTTAGAATGTTGTTTTTACTTATTCTGATTAACAATGAAGGATGAAGAAGTATTACAGAATGACTTGGATCAATTGGGAAGTTGAAAAAATATTTGGTAAATTACCTTTAATTATGATAAGTGTAAGGTGCTACATTTAGGTCATCATTATTTGGATCATACCAGCATGACTGAAGAAAAAGGATCTTAACACAGTGTTGATGGATGAGTCACGTGAGCCATCCAGATGATGCTCTACTGTTTAACATAATTTTAGAGTGAAACCAGAGTGACTGAAGAAAAAGGATCTTAACACAGTGTTGATGGATGAGTCACCTGAACCATCCAGATGATGCTCTACTGTTTAACATAATTTTAGAGTGAAACCAGAGTGACTGAAGAAAAAGGATCTTAACACAGTGTTGATGGATGAGTCACCTGAGCCATCCAGATGATGCTCTACTGTTTAACATAATTTTAGAGTGAAACCAGAGTGACTGAAGAAAAAGGATCTTAACACAGTGTTGATGTATGAGTCACCTGAGCCATCCAGATGATGCTCTACTGTTTAACATAATTTTAGATTGACTTAAAGTCAAAAGAGGTAATTACCTCCCTATGCAAATCATTAGTTAGGCCTTCTTTGGAATACTGTGTACAGTTTGGTCTTCTTATCTACAAAAGATACTGATTTAGTGGAAACGGTTCAGAGGAAGGCTAACAGCATGATTCTCGATATGAAAGTGTTATATAAATAGATTATAATCTCTTATCTTTTAATGAGAAGGAAGTGATCATATTGAAATTTACAATATTATCTGGGAATGGATAGGATAAAGGCTTTTGATTTCTTTGTGTTGTATTCTGAAGACAATAGGATGAGGGGACACAAGTTTACAATTGGAAAAAGGTAAACTAGACTCCATTTATAAGTTTTATCCTTCTATCAGGGTGATTAGCTTATGGAATGAGTTGTTATTGGAGATTGATACCTTACAAACATTTATGAAAGTACTGACTGATTTCTTGAAAAACAGAGGATAAATTCAATTTTTACATTTTTCTCAGGAACAACCATGATGGACCAAATGGTCCCTTGTTGTCCCGATGCAAACTTTCAGTTAAACAGGTTAGTGTATAATATTCAAACCATGTCTCTACATATTTAAACTTTCAGTGCATTTTTCCTAAAAGTCAATAATATAAAAAAATTGGTTTACCTATTGTAGAGCAAACCATCATAACCTTCCTTCATGAATAAACTGTTGATCTCTTGTACGTTAATCTGATCATCTTGTTTCATAGCAGTGTTGGTCATTAACTGATAAGTTATATTCCAACTCAAAAATACTTTTCACTGAAATTCTCATCATTGAAAATGTTTCTTAAGTTGTTCATGATTTCACCACTGTGATTGGTGCATTATATACTCAAAGTAAAATCACTTATTTTTTATATTAAATGACCCACGCGTTACATACAATTTTTGCGGGAAGAAAGTACAACCATATTAATATCATATTTCTACCTTATGCGATACACATGAAAAACATACATTGCTAGAGAAAATAAAAGTGGAAGAATGAAACAATTTTCGTGTATCTGACAGATATACACCATCCACTCCAACAAAGATACTGTACATATACCATCTAGCACAACTTACTCGAATTTTACTACACCTAATTCTGACACTGAAGAAAAACCATCGAAACTGCAAGTATGTTTTAATTTTTAAGGCTTCTCTTTTATATCTATTTTTTCACAGTAAAAATTACTTCTAATTACTACTATAGGAACATAATTAACAAATAAATTTGAAATTTAACCAATAACCATAAAATATGACCATTCTTCTAATAACCACTAAAATATCTGAAAATTTAATTTTTCTTATTAAAAACTCACTATCCATAATTCATATATGGTACAAGAAAAAATATTTAAAAAAAACCAATAGACAGAGTGTATATGCATGTTCTGCTTTGTTTTTTTAAGTAGAACACTATACATATTGAAGTTTAAAACATATATTGCTAGTTAATAATGGTTTCTACTTCAATAATGTAACAAATGTTAATTACTTGTAGCACAATGAAGTTTTCAGATATTTAATTTAATAAAGTATACATTTGACATTATACCATACAATGCTGTAAGATTTTAAGCTCAAAAACATCAAATGTAATTAATGAATAATCAATAGTAACAGAAGGTTTGTGAATGTGGTTTCTACCTGGCAAATCTTCTGTAAATCCACAGATCGCTAATATGACAACACATTTAAAACCTTGCGCTATCTTCGTACTCATCTCCCTGGTACTAGTGTAAATACTACTTTTCTGTGTTGTTGTTTTTTTATCTCGTTAGTTCTTCTAAGAGAAAACATTTACTTTCAAAACCATAAGCATGAGTTAAATTTTTAGTAGAAAAATATTCACTGTTGAATTTTGATTTTCAATGGAATAAAATGATATAGATTTATTCTATGTATTGAAATTTGAAGGTCGTAATGATAATTCGGTGAGGAAAAAAAAAACAGTTTTAACTTCAGTTAAATTAAAACTGGAAATTAACTATACAATTGTTGAGAGAGGATCCTGACGAAAATGAAACGATTCTTTTGAAGCAATTAGCTTTTGTTGGGATTCGTTTTGGAACTGGCATTACTAATGATACACGATGTTAATTGAAAATGATTGAAAGTAAATGAAATTTATTCCTCAAAACAAAAACCAGTTTTAGAATTATCTTAAACATCTTGCAAATACTAAGCACATAAATATATCTAAGTTAAACACATGCTCTTGAAGAGTTTAGATTGATAACGATTCACCAGATTTCTGTATATGTTACCTTTCCTACAAATAAATATGGTTAAAGTTATATTTGTTAATATGGTATACTAATATGTTGTCACACAGTATTACACAGACACAGTCAAAGATTTGATTTTTAAATACTGATCCCATAAAGGATAGACACAATGAATTGGTCTTGGGTTTCACATTAGCTTATGAACTTTGCTAGTAACAAGTTGTTCTTTATATATATTTAATATAGCCGGTGAAACAAATAAAACTTATGATATTGCATACAAAACAAAAAGCATGGAAATCACTTTACAAATTATACTTTTCTAGGCCTAATACTTGTAATACATTTACCATTTTATTCCACAAAGAAAAAATACCAATATCGTGGTGTTTTTACAGTATTTTTTTTTGGAAGCAGTTTTTTTTATAAATCAATCTAAACTTCCAATGAATATGACAAAAGAAGAGGTCTGTCTACTACTACTACTATTATTATTATACATACTATAGTATAGTGTTATCGTAACTTCGTCAACCGCCCAAGACTGTTACTGTTATATTACAGTTATTAGTTGCTGCTTCTCACTGCAGACAGATCGTAATACTAACATATTCTGCTATTTTACATCCTTACCTCGTTTTGGAAGCAGCACTTTTAGTAATAATTATTAAAATTCCAGTAAAAATGATAAAATACTTACCATAGCTTCATCAGCCGACTTAAACTTCATTGTGTTCCTTCTAAGTTCTAACACATACCACAGATTCAGAGCAGGACTGAGAAAGCAGGTCGTAAGATAGGCCTACCCAAAGACAGAAATTTCTTGTATCACAAATTTCAACCATCTAATTGTCGAAATATGTTAACATATCGTCTGCATTATTTTTCGTAATTCACCTGCTTGCATTGGAGAAACCTTTGGCAGGTCTAACGTATAACATACCTTAACAACAACAAAATTGCACTAATACTAAACGTAATACTAGTAAAATAATAACACGACTCTCAGCGTTGGTATTGCTTATAACTAAGTTAATATACAAAACACAGACAGAAGCTTTCCAACTTGGGCGCCCTCTTGCTAAAGATAACTTTGTTACAGTTTGGGCGAACAAAATAAATGTTACATGACTGAACGTTTTTAGGTGAAAGTCTAATATAAATTATTAATAATGTTTCTGAATTGATGCTTTTAAAAAACATTTGAGGATGAAAATATATAAATATGAAAAACAAAAGTTTAATATAGTTGTATATACTTCTTTTTAGCAATCAAACGCAGTAAGCAATTCAAATAAATTTAAAATTAGTAATTATATAGGGTTTCAATGATTTTTAAATATATTGAGTTATATATTTTAAATTGATATGTTATCTTTCACTCTCGAAAAATGTTATAAACTGGCGGTTATTCTATATTTGTTAAACAGACGTATTTTTAAATATAACATGATTTTATTTTATTTTGAATAGTTAGCAATTAATAATCTGATGAAAGTAAATTCCTAATTTTGTACAAAACAGGAATTACATCCATTAAGAAAAAAATGAGTGATTTCGACACAATCTTGCTAAGTGAACAAAAACCAATTTTATAAACAATAAATAATATAAAAATAACAGGAAGAGGCTAACCAAATAATATTTTTTAAACAAAATTCATTATATAACGTGAAAATAATAGGTAAAGGTTAAACAAATGCTACTTATATGAAAAATATCACAATTAATAAATAATAAGAGAATAACAAATAGATGACAACTAAGCTATTTCAAAAAAAAGATATCACAAAATTAAATAACGTACAACTAACGAGGAGAAGTCAAAGAAATACTGTTTATATAAAAATAGAAATACTATTTATATATTGTTCCAGAAACAATATATATAATGTAAAAATGTCAATTAGATGTCAATTAAATATTATTTGTTAAAAAGAAAATTATTTCACGAATAACAAATAATGTGAAAATCTCAAGTTAAAGGTTAATTAATTACTAGTTGTTAAATAAATCACAAACAACAAATAATAAAACATAACAATTAGAAGGCAACCAAATATTATTTCTAAAAATCGCGAGGAATCGAACCTCCAGCTTTTAGTTTTTGAAGCCCGCAAACTTACCGCTGACCCATCAGCTGGACAAATAATATACAACTAGCTAGAAGAAACCAATGAAATGCTATTTCTAAAACTAAGTTCTTTTAAACAATAAACAATGTGAAATAGTGAGAAAAGGTCAACTTAATAGTACTTGTGGAAAAGTTCATTTCTTTAACAATAAATAAATAACAATTAAAGATCAGCTAAATATTATTTCGAAAAGAAAGAAAAATTCACACATGAGAAAGAAAGTAAAATTAGCAACAAAAGATTAACCAAATACTATTTATTAAAAAAAACTCATTTCATAAACTATAAATAATGTGGAAATGACAAGTCGAGGTCAAGTAAGAATTATTTCTAAAAATAAGCAATTTCACGAAGTATAAAGAGAGTGTTGTTGTTTTTGCACAAAGCTACACTATGGCTATACAAGTACTGTCCAATACGAAGAATGGAACCCCATATTTTAGTGATGGAAGTCAGTAAACTTACCGTTGATCCACCAGGGGAGAGATAGCGTACAACTAACGAGAAGTGACCAATCAAATGCTATTTCTAAGGCAGAATTCATTTACAAAGAATAAATAATGTGTTAAAAAAATGTTGTTAAGCTCCACAACCTTGGGTATCAAAACCAAATTCTTAACGTCTTAAGCCCTCAGACTTACCACTGAGCTACCGAGAAACAAAGGTAAACTTAAAAGTTTTGAGACGGCTTGACTGGGTAATGAAAAATGTTTATCGAAACGTCGTACATTTATAATAAAGTTTTTCGTTACCCAGTCAAGCCGTCTTAAAACTTATATTCTTTAAAAAGTGGATTCCTCGTTATCAAAAAGGTAAATTTAATACTATTTGTGAAATAAAAACATTTTACAAAAAAAAAAGTTATTTGAAAATCACAATTAGAAGTTGAACAAATACTATTTTAAACTAAAAAAAAAAAAAAAAAATAGAAGAAGAAATGTACCCCGTGGAACAGTGGTAAGTTTACGGACTTACAACAGTAAAACCTGTGGTTAGCTTCTTTTGCAGTGGATACAGCAGATAGCCCAAAGTAACTTTGCTCTAAAACAAAGAAACTAAAAAGAAAAATATAATAATCATTTCGCAAAGAACAAATAACGTGCAAATAAAAATATACTTAATATACAATAAATAATATTAAAATGATAGGTAATTTTAACCAAATACTATTTCGACAAAAAATCGCAAATAATAAGTAATATGGAAAAAACAAGTAGAGATTAGTCAAGTGCTATTTCTACATAGGAAGTAATTTCAAAAACAATATGAAAATAATAGGTAGAGGCCAACCAATTACTATTAAAACAAACGCAAAATTTAATGTTGTCTACACCACAATCTACTCTTAACATATTTAAAAAATGTTCAATAGTGTAGTCAAGAATGGTTTTATTATTGGACATCTTGTCTTGAATATAATGTTTTTATGACGTTTTAGAACACTTTCGTGCTCCATCTTGAGGTAAGTTATTCAAAGATTTATGAAACTCTGGCGTACATCTTGTGTAATATATTTTCCCATTTATATCGAATTAGCAATTGAGGAGAATTTGGTCTGAATTTCGTGTAAAGCCACACGAGGATTATGGATTTGTTATGGATTTCGCGCAAAGCTACACGAGGGCTATCTGCGCTAACCGTCCCTAATTTAGCAGTGTAAGACTAGAGGGAAGGCAGCTAGTCATCCCTACCCACCGCCAACTCTTGGGCTACTCTTTTACCAACAAATAGTGGGATTGACCGTCACATTATAACGCCTCCACGGCTGAAAGAGCGAGCATGTTTGGTGGGACGGGGATTCGAACCCGCGACTAGCACATTGCGAGTCGAGCGCCCTAACCACCTGGCCATGCCGGGGTCATTGAAGAGAAAATAAAACTTAGTAGAATTTATATTAAAAATAGTGGTTCTTACTTTAAAACTTTGTTTAATATACAATAGAAAAAATCTACACGTGCAGATTTAATTGACCGACAACTACCCGAGTCTCCCACTTTTTCCCCTATGGATAAACACAGATCTTGGGGAGATATAACCTGTCGTAGACAAAGCATGAATAGTACATTGTGCAGCTTTGCGCTTAACAAAATTCTCTGTGTTTCAGGGGCGTAAAGTGACTCCATAAAATTAACCAGAAAATTAACTGCACCCATGAAATAAACAAGTGTCTGTGGCCCTAAATCAATCTTGAAAGCTGGAAGGTTTTCTAGAATGAAATCTGAGGCTCTTCTTGTATTAAAATACGTTCAAAGAAACTCGGATTTTTACCTCAGTGTGCTTTTAAGTTGTTCAAAAAATATCAATGGCGAAAACTAAAGATACAACATTTTTTTTAGACAAAAGGTCTAATCTTCTTCAAATAAGAAAAGACTAGTACTTTTACCTTTTCTGAAAACTGTCACAAATACGTTTACACCCGTTTCAGTTTTACACTTTGTAAATATGAATCATGTGTTCCAGTAAATAAAATGCAAATGTTAAAAAATTCAAGTATGTTGTCATGAATTTAAAATTTGAGAAAATCATATAAGATAAAACTTCACTTTTTTGACAACAGGTTAAATAAATCATAACAAACTTAACTTCTCCCTACCTTTCGGTTTGCACCTGCTACTTACTGGATCACTGCTTTAGGAGTGATACGAATTCGATGACGAGGAACCCACTTTGAGACTAATAATGGTTGGAGACGGCTTGAATGGGTAATAAAGAAAACTTTAATATAAGTTTAACATAACAGCAAATGTACAACGTTTCGACAAGGTTTTGTCATCATCAGGTACAGAAGTTTCCCTATTGGCTCTATTGTAGCTAGACTATTACCTCAGCCAATGACGACCCTGTGAAACACACACATGACTAAAAGTAACATACAGAAAACGTCCACAATTCCAACAGGTCTACTGGTAATGTAGAAGCTAATACAGCATTAAAGTAGTGTAACAGCTTTAGGAAGATACACAAAAAACATTGGTAGTGTAAGACAGTTTTTTTTAAAGTTAGTACAGACCGTGGACTACTGACGCCAGTGGGTCCATGCTATTTTTCAGGCTGAAGCCTAGGAATACATCTCTGATAGAAATGTACCCTTTTAGGTTTAATATTAGCTGAATATGGAGTGCAATCAAACATCTGTGTACACTAAGAAAAATTTGTTTGTTTCCGATATTGGCTCAAAACTACAAAAGGACTGTCTGCGTTAGTTGGTCCTGCTTTTAAGCTGATAGATTACAGGGAAGGCAGGGAGTCAATAGCACTCACCGCCAACTCTTGGGCTTCTCTAAGAGAATAAAGGGGTTTGACTGCCACTCTCATAACGCACCCACGGTCTCATAGTGCGGAGCGCGACTTAGCAACTATGATACGCGAAGATGGACCTTCGGATCAACAGACGGCATGCTAATCACTAGGCCACGCCCAATCATTTTTAAAATATAAAACTTCTATTGAAGTGAAACTTTTAAGATAATATATAGTAGATTCCATGCGTGATCCCGCTAAATATTCATTATTTGAAGCACTAAAAATGTAGGCTTACTAATTAATGACTATTTATTTCACCTATCACATACTATGCATTCAGCAATAGAATGATTTATATACACAGACTTGAAATATTGGAAGTAGATGAACGGTTTGAGGAATGTGTTCTGGATAACAACGATATTTTCATGGTTATAACGTTAACAGGAAAAGATACGAAGCTATAGAAAAGGTTCACCAAACGCTATCTTTTAGCACCAGCTAATGTATTTCAAGAGGTTTTTTTATTTAGTTACCAAACAACTTTTATTACCCAAGGGAAACTCCGATAAGGAAAGATTTAAAAGTAGTAGTTGGTTGCCAAGGGTATTTTTGTTTATATTCCAATACTTTCCTACATCGTATGTAGCTGAGAATACTGAGAACAAAT